CTCTCTCTCTCTCTCTCTCTCTCTCTCTCTCTCTCTCTCTCTCTCTCTCTCTCTCTCTCTCTCTCGCGCGCGCGCGCGCGCGCGCGTGTGCGCTCCTATTGTATGCCCTTACACGCGCTCCCTCCCCCCCTCACTGTGCGGATCCAAACACAGCGCACGACCCCATGCGCGCCCCCTTCATACGATGACGCCTCCCCGACTTCGTCAAGGTGCACCTCTGGCTCCCCGGCTTAGCGCGACCCGCCGTGCCTACGTGGGCTAGCTACCCCACGGCACGACATGGTGGCATTTCCCCTTCGAGCTCGAAGCGCGACGATGGCGCCCAGATTAGCGCTAACCCAACGGCGCTGACGGTCCGAGCTGCATGATACTGTTGTTTCTTTCCATGGGTGTATTCTTCTGTCTGATATCTCCTCAAACTTTTGTTTGTTTTTTTTTTTTTTTCTGAGAGAAAAACCGGTGACTCCTACTAGAGGGGGTGATACGGGCAGCCTCCCCTTGTAACCATGGCTACACCGGACCTGGACCCGGACAGCTCATGTCCGGGGACCGTACGCATGTCCGGTCAGGTCCGGACGTCCGGACTTCCGGACATATCTGGACCTCTGGACATGCGTGGCTCCGGACGGTCCGGACCGGTGAGCAGGTCCGGAAATGTCTGGACCATTAACAAAAGAAAAATAAAAAAAATCTGAAACAAAAAAATGTTATGCAGAATAGCAATGCAAACCACTTTTGCTTCAGACTCATGTCAGAATTCCTAACCCAACTTGAGTTAAAACTTAAAAGTAAAAAACTTTAAAAAGTAATGAATTATTAATAATTCATTACTTGGGTATTAGTAATAGATTATTATAGAGATAGACCAAGTCCGGACCCCCCAAAAAAACAAAATCGGGTCTGAAAAAAACCCAAACAATTTTGGGGGCTTGGCTACTTAGTGGGGAAGGGTTCTGGACCTTTTTTTTTTGGCAGATCCGGACCTTCCGGACCGGACGTCTGGAGTCCGGATTGAATCCAGATCGTAGCTATGCTTGTAACTGTCCCCGGTTGTGCCATCTATGGGTGGGGAGCTGCACCTTCTACCGGGTCCAGCATCCCTGTATATCCAACAAGAAAAAGGATAGCAGCTATTCCACCAGCATTGATTACTCCCGGTTCCCCAAGGGGATTGACGGTGCAGAAGAGAAGTCTAAGTGACAGCAGTCCCTCTTCGCCCTTTCACTGGGCGCCTAAAAGGCCTTGACATGCCTAGCATCTGTCATTTCCTTTATGAAAAAAAAAGAGAAAAAAGGGCATACTCTTGGTAGGACTATTTCTACTAAGCTGTGGACATAATTCCAGTCAGATTCGTCCATGTCTGGCCCTTATTGCATTGAGATATATTTACAAAAGTTCTAGTGCGAGTGTGCCATCGAATTTTTTTTTTCTTTTTTCCTTTTAAAAAAATTGGACCATTTCTCGTTCTTTGCGTGTCATCCTTGCACAGGGGCCATGCTAACCTTCTTTCTCTGTATCGTTCCAATTTTAACGGATGTCCCGAAGGAATGCCATCGAAATTTGAACCATGCATAACGTCAATTTTCCTTCTGTTTTGGGGGGAGGATCCATAGCTCAGGCGTTTCATATGTTATTCTTCTTTTGTTTCTGCACACATAGTATAGGGGTATCATGATCATCAGGAGGGGGTATCAACTTTGTTTCTGCGATTCTCTCGGAAGGTCCATGAGCTAGAGGTGTCATATGGTCTTCTTCTTTTATTGCAAAGATCCGGACACTATTTCACTTGCAAAACAACATGCACTTGAGAGCAATTAAATAAAGCTCACATGAGCTTGAGATATGGCCATGAACAGTGCAAATTCGAAGTTCCACTCAGATGCAATAATATGCAATTGAAAAATCCGGAATTCGGCAGTAGCAACTGCTGAAACGACCCCCAACTCCGATCCTGACTTTCCCCTGTTCGATCCGCTGCTTTTCTCTCAGTTTCTCTCTCTCTCCCTCTCCTCTCTCTCTCTCTCTTCTTCTTCTTCCTTCTCTGCACTGTTGACCCTCGTTGCTCTCCCTTTCTGTTCTTCCTTCGTCTACGTCCTAGATCTACCCTGAATGCTACTGCAGCGTCTCTCTCAACATCAGGCGGCAATGGCCGCCAAGTCTGCTTCTCCCCCTCCTGGATATGGCTCTCCTTCAGCCAGGGCACTGGGCATCTTCTCCCTTCAGCGCACTTCTTCATCCAGGTCGCTAGTTCGCACAGCTCCAACAGCGCTCCACAAATTTGTGAAATGAACAACTGCCTCTGTGTGGTACTGCAGCCCAAAATATATTGTTTTTGTGGGCTGGGCCTGCATGCTTCGATTGGTACCAGCCTTCTTTTGCCTCTGCCCTGCCAAGTTGCTATTTTGGGAAGGTTCTCACCTTTCTTGTGAGGCTGCTGCAAAAACTGGACCTTTGGGGACTGGCATGATCCTACAGGTACTGTTCCTACAGACCTACGACAGCTAGACCTACAGACCCTAAGATTTAACTACCAGTAGGGCCTGCGGACTGCAATAATTAGGAACTCTGTAACAGGGACTGGTAGGCTTGCAGCGTGAATCCATTCATTATATCTGATTGGAGGTTTTTCGAGGCCTCCCTCCCAGGCCCCCCTCTTTCCTAGGTTATAGTTGTGTTTTTTTTTGTTTTTTTTTTTTAACAAATAGCGTGCTTTATTATATATGGAGCAAAAGGAGGCCGGGAATCCCTCCAGATCTCAACCCGGAAGACTGGTGCCGTTACCCAGATTAGGCTCATACTGGAAACCGGGTCCAGTGTCCCTTTCTCCTGTGAAGCTACATGCTATTCCTGAACAAAGACAAAACTGGATTAAACCACCAGTACTTGGGCACTGCGCGGGCTGTCGATTCGATTTATCGACGGCCCGCCGGCCGCGGAAATCGCGTAGCGTTAACGCTAAGGCGTCGCCCAAGTACTGGTGGTTTAACAAAAGACAAATAGCAGTAAACGAAAGAACCTGCCAACCTGCCCCTAGGTTGCATTTAGGAGCCGAAAGAAATGACAATCCTGCCCCCAGGTTGCACTTAAGAAATAAGAGGGCTGAAATGACATGGAAGAACTGGAACCCCTGCGGAGTGCCCCAACATGCTACACCCTAAACCTACCTCTATTTTCTTCTGCCTAACTTCTCCCTCCCCTCTCTCTTTCCACCTATCCTCACCTTAAGCCCTAAACCCGACTGCTGTTGCTCCTCTTTCCCTTTATCTCCAACACCTCAGCCTCTCTGTAGGTTATAGTTCTTGAAATTTAAAATTTTTACTTTTTTTCAAGTTTTTTGAGTTTTCATTTGCTGTTAAGGCACACAGGGTTGTGGGTGGGTGGCAGTCAACGTCAGCCTTGTACGTGAGAGGCATAGTAAAAGGAGAGTTGCAAGGACAAATATGAAAGAGGTACCCCAAAGAAGGCCAAACTTTAAATAAACATAGGTGACAAAGGGATTTCAATGGACTTGGGGCATACT